ACAGACACCTGTCAGGGATGATCTAGACCCTGGATTCCCAAACTGGAGGACATGAAGAAATTCCAGGGCGGGCACGAGGCAACCCACCCCCGTCAATCCCACCCAAGTTTTGCTGCTATTTTTTTGGGAGGGGGGCGTGAGAGTTTCTCAGAAATCAAAAAGGGGGCGTGATGCCGAAAAGTTTGGGAACCACTCATCTAGGCGGTGTTTTGTCCTGCCGTGAGGGCAGGGGACTGGACTCGACCTGTCAAGGTCCCTTCCAGTTCTAAAATTCTATACAATAAGGAGTTGTAAAAAACTTTGACAGAGTACGGGGACTGTTTCTATGCTTCTTTCATTTAAAGTAAGGTGGTGAAAAGCTGCCTTTTGCTTCTGCACGGCTGCATCAATTCACAGTTCGGTGGTGAACTTTTGAAAGAGCAGCCTTAACATTTTGTTTAGAGCCACAAACTTTTCAGAGTTACTAACAACCTCCATTCCTGAGGTGTCTGTACCTCTGAGGCTCTTCTGTACTCATGTGCTACTAGTAGTCATCATTGTCAACTCATCAGCATGATTCTTTCCACAGCACCCAAAATGCATTAGGAGCTTTTCAGAGCAAATAAAGTCATGAGATGGGTTTATACTCACCTCCTGTTTTCCCTCATTGTATCAGGCCTCCTTTTGATCCATTGTATCTCCAGCAATGCTTATGTGAATATCCCTTCCTTTTTTTAAAATTGTGCTTTTATTCTGTTGTGAAGAGCCCTGAGATGCTTGGCCAAGTTGATGCACTTTTAAAATGCCTTTAGGAGTAGTGTTTGTGCCTACCAAATGTTTGAACACTAATGCATGACACATTGCCCACACCCATTTGAAAACGGGAAAACTGCATGTGTAAATCAGCAGTTCTTGGCGGATCTGTTCCGAGTGCACAAACGTGCGCTTATGCAGGTATTTTTGAGAAGCTGGATCCATTGATTCATTGCCTCCGTACCCCTATTAATGTAAAATTGTGTCCTCCATTTTCACATCCAATCTATGTTTATTGGACCCAAAGGACGAGAATTCATCCATTTCATTTGGTGGATTATTCCAGTTGATGTGGCCTCGGTTTCCTTCCACTTCTATTTATACTCTTTGTATCCTCTGAACAATTCCTCTCCATGCTTGGGATGAATTGTTAAACCCAACCATCCTAGAATTTAGAGATGCAAAAGAACTGGGATAAAAACTTTCTCATTGAAGTCCATGTCAAAACAGCCACTGAATTCAATAGTAGTTCATCCCTGTGTTGTTGGCTTATCTAGCCGGTCAATTTGCTGCCCATACATGATTGCTCCCTATTGTACATTTAGCAGTTTTCTATCCATTCTAAGTTTTAAAATGTGCTGAGTGATGGATCTTCCACTTCTTCCCTTCAGGTACTGTTGGCACTGTTTAATGCTTGCAGACTATTTTAGTTTCTCTAAGCACTGCTTGGCCACGTAATGTATGTATATATAGATCCTTTAATCGCTCTCATACTTGCTGCCTCTTAATCTCAACTTTGTCTCTCAAAGACTTTCTGGCTTGCATGCATACTTACGTGCTTGACAGGAGAGGTGGCGCAAGTGCATAGCTAGAGCACAGTAAATAATTCATTTCCCCCCCCCCCCAGAAAAAATACATTTGAAACCATGCATGCACATAGAAACGCAACCATTCTTTTTGTGAGGTGATGCTGCTTAAGCAAAGAAACTACTAGACTGGGATTTGGGAGCTGGGCTTTTTATTCCCAGCTCTGCCACTGGCTTTTTGTGTGGCCTTGGGCAAATCACTTCACCCGCTGTGTCCCTCTCCTCCTGTCTATTTCGACTGCAAACTTGGTGGGGTGGGGACTATCGCTCGCTATGGCAAACACAGCATCCAGCACAATGGGCTGCTGTCTCAGCTGGAAGCCCTAAGCAATACTGTAATACATATAGGTAAGTAACCATAGCTATGCAAAAGGGCCTCTCCTTGCTCAACAGCACCACTATGCAACTATGTATTTTTGCCTTATGTATCAGCAAAGAAATCTTCAGCTAATTTCCAGGAGCAGAATCTCCACCGGGGTGTTAAGCAAAGTGGCAGAAAGCCCATAACTTCAGATCCCAGGCGAGGGATGTTAAATATAGTTTAATCAACTAATCGACTAGTCGATGGATTTTTTCCATCGACTAGTTGATGAGCAGGGAACTGGTCCTGGTCCTGGGAGTTAACCCTGCTGCGGCTCTGCCTTTTAAATGTATTAAGAACTGGCAGGCTCTTAATATATTTAAAAGGCTGAAGCACAGCAGGAGGGACCCAGCACGAGCTGGGATAGCTGATTGGCGGCTCATATTGGGTCCCCCCTGCTGCGCTTCTGCTTTTTAAATGTATTAAGAGCCAGCAGGCTCTTAATACATTTAAAAAGCAGAGTTGCAGCGTCTGAGACTGGGCACGAGTTGGGAATCCTCAGATTCCCAGCTCGCGGCCAGTCCCCGCTATTCCCCTGCCCTCCTGTGGAAACGGTGCTGGGGGGGACCAGCTTTTAAGTCAGGTCCCCACATCATTGGATCCTACTCCTCCCCTCCCCTCCCCACTGCCTCTGCTAGAGGCAGCAAGTGGGGGTGGGGGAACGACTAATTGAGGAATTAGTTGACTCTCTGATAAGCTTTTGCTTATTGGATAGTCAACTAGTCACTTACATCTCTATCCTAGGCTAAGGGCTTGTCTACACTAAAAGGAAGATCACTGCTGCGGTGATCAATCTTCCAGAGTTCGATTTAGTGAGCCTAGTTAAGGCTGGCTAAATCAAACTCTGAGGGCTCCTATGTGGCATCTGTTACGCTTCCTTTAGCGAGGAGTAAGGGAAGCCAACAGGCATGTTTAATGTAGACCTGGCCTAATTAATGAGGTTCAGGCAGCAAGAGAAAATAAGAAAAACTTGATCTAGAAGCTTTTGAAAGAATGAATACCGAATTTTACGGTCACTTTTTGAAACTCTTGTTGCACGTTAACATTGCAAAATATCAAGAATATAACATCAACTCTTAGCGCTGAATCAATACTTTGTAACAAATGAGTTAGTCAGTGAATTTCCCTTTTGCTCATCTTCACGGAACCTTCTCTAACCCCTCACAAAGGTCTGGAATTTATTTGCAACGCCGGGATTAAAGCCCTGCTGTGCTGGTGAGTTGTGATAGGTCACAGGAGTCACATGATGGTGTTTCCACTTCCTGAGACCACGAACACAAACGCATAGAAAAGATTTTGGCATAAAATCCCATGGGAAATGAATTCGGATTTGCTTCCATTGAGAACCTGAGCAGTCTTGAAACTCACTCTGTACCGATCCACGTGAGCAAAACGACGCGCATTCCTCAATTTGTTTAAAAAACCTGAACAAATGTTCCTCGAGACTTGTGCTGCATTCTATTCTGCATGGATCGCTGGTGCATTCCCGTCCTATCCTCAGCGATGCTCTTATTTTAAGCCTCCTCAACGGCACCCAAAGCCTCTTAATAACTAATCTCAATTCTTTTCACATCTGTCTCTGAAGTGGACACGTGAATTCAGGTCAGGATCAGGCTTAGGCAAGGGATTGGGGATCCCTGACAGCCTATTCTGGGAGGATTGCGTGGCCAAAGGAGAAGGGGGGCAGGACTCCGACCAAACTGGCATTACCTGTTTTGGAGTCACTGGTAATCAGAAGAAGAAAACAATCTAGAACAATCTAGAACCGGTGTGCGGTGGAGAACAACAGAGTTAAAAATGGCTGCCCTTCGGAAGAAAACAATCTAGAACAGTGATTCTTAAACTGTGTTCCGGGGTACACCGGTGTGCCGTGGAGAACAACAGAGTTAAAAATGGCTGCCCTTAAAGGGGCAGGCAACCTTTATTTTTGCTCAATAACTTCCCCCCACCTTTTTTTTTTTGTGCTTAACAAATCCTTGGTATTCCTCATAAAAAAAAAAATTATTGTTTGGTGTTCCTCAGTCTAAAAAAGTTTAAGAAACACGGATCTAGCATGTGTACGGATCAATGTCCTAACGGGATGTAAAATCCAGTTTAATCAGTCGTCTGGTAATGTGTACGGATCAATGTCCTAACTAGGGATGTAAAATCCAGTTTAATCAGTCGTCTGGTTAAACGTTACATTTAACGGCTTAACCGATTAAGCCGTATCCCTCAGGTGGGGGCCGCTCAGCTGGGCTGCTGGCCTCGAGGGGCTGCTGGTGGCCGACGCTACCCACAGCACGAGTTGCCAGATTTCACTGCTTCCGTCCACGTTGTTTGTTTGCTAGCCATATTACTGAAGTCACACGCACATCAATTGAGTGCATGTAAGTTGAGGTGTGTGCTGACTGGATACAATACGGGCTGTGAGAGGCAAAATGTGGCCGGGGATGGCCAGAGCCACAGCTCACGATGTCTGTGGAAAGCAAGTAAGGTTTAGGGCATCCTGTTCTCTGCCCCTATCGCCAGTTCAGGCAGGAGCTCTAAGGCCTAGAAAGGATTTTGTTGACGACAAATCCAGCCTCCTGCACTCTTAAAAATCTCCAGTGATGGAGATTGCAGAACCTCAGTGGGCAATTTATTTCAGCTTAACCACCCGGACAGGAATTTTTTTTCCTTAATGTGCAACCTAAACCTCCCTTGCTACAATTTAAGCCCATTGCTTCTTGTCCTGTCCTCAGCACAAGGAGAACAATTTTCCCCCTCCTCCTTGTAACACCCTTTTAGACACTTGAAAACTGCTATCATGTCCCCTCTCAGTCTTCTCTTTTTTTAAACTAAACAAGCCCCATTCTTTCAGTCTCCCCTCATAGCTCATGTTTCCTAGATCTTTAATCATTTTAGTTGCTCTTCTCTGGACCTTTTTCCTTAAAAAAGGAAACATGAAGGCCATATAGGGATTGACAAGCCTACAGGAAAGGCTAGAGATGTTTTATATGGGCCTCAAAATGCAGCTCTCAAGATTTGTTGTGTATGCTTTAAACACAGGCTCGGTTGCGCAAAAGAGCCCATGCTGGTGGTGGCACAGAGAAGGCAGGCATAGATCTACTTAATGGTAAGATTAATTTACTGGAGAAAAGGTACTCATTCTAGACCATTCTCACTTTCCTGAGAGCTTCCCTGGCAGATACCACAGCTAAACAGCTGACTGTGCATAACAAATCTATTTGTGCTACACATGTTACAGCTGACATAGCAGTGTTTGACAATGAGCCACAATTTAGTGGACATTGAATCATAGAATCCTAGAACTAGAAGGGACCTTGAGAGGTCATCGAGTCCAGTCCTCTGTCCTCATGGCAGGACCAAGCACATCCCTGACAGGTGTCTATCCAACCTGCTCTTAAATATCTCCAGTGATGGAGATTCCACAACCTCCCCAGGCAATTTATTCCAGTGTTTCACCACCTTGACAGGCGGGAAGTTTTTCCTAATGTCCAACCTAAACCTCCCTAGATGCAGTTTAAGCCCATTGCTTCTTGTCCTGTCCTCAGAGGCCAAGGGGAACAATTTGTCTCCCTCCTCCTTATGACACCCTTTTAGATACCTGAAAACCGCTATCATGTCCCCTTTCAGTCTTCTCTTTTCGAAACTAAACAAGCCCGATTCTTTCAGTCTTCCCTCACAGGTCATGTTTTCTAGACCTTTCATCATTTTTGTTCAGAAGCTTCAGGGGGTAGCCAAGTTAGTCTGTACAGAAAAAAACAACAAATGGTCTTTTTTTTTCTCCATTTTTTTCTCCCCTTCCCCCTCTTTCTCTCCTATTTATTTTGGGTCTGCCCATCCTAAACTTAATACTCCAGTCATCTGAAGAAGTGGGCTGTGCCCACAAAAGCTCATGATACCATCCACATGTTTTGTTAGTCTATAAAGTGCTACCAGACCATTTGTTGTTATCATTTTTGTTGTTCTTCTCTGGACCGTCTTCAATTTCTCCATGTCTTTCTTGAAATCACTGCAAAAGCCCATGTGGTGTTACATAGAGGCTGTTGGATTTGCATCACTGAATACAGAGGATCTGTCAAGCACCCGGATCCCAGAACGATCAGTGAACATTGCACCAATTATCAAAAAACCAAAGGAAAACATGGTAATTACTAGCCTACTGCATGGTCTACTTTGTAAAACAATGGAATGCATACGAAGAGAAAAAGTTCACTGGATGGAAAGGGATTGGAATTATGAGCATTAAGCAGCATTAACAGCTTAATAGGCAGGACATCTTTCCAGAGAAACTTGCTCCCTTCTTAGGTGTATTGAATTAAAAGTTCCGCAGATGAGGGGAGCACAAAAGATGTACTATTTGGACTTGAAAGCAGTTGTGCCTTGTGAAATCTGGATTGAAAAACGAATGCAAAAGGCTTGGGTAGGAATGCTGTTGGGTGGATTCAAACCAGTCCAAAAGGCCAGGAACAAAGGGAATTCCCCTTGAAAAACAGTGCAGGATGCTAGAGATGGCCGTGTGCTGCAAAGCTCAGATGCAGATTTGGATCCAAACATCTTCAGAGTCCAGGTCGGGGGTGGTTAATCTGCAGCCCATACTCTGTACACGGCTCATCAGGGTAAGTCACTGGAGGGCTGCTAGACAGGCTGTTAACCTTACGTCCGCAGGTACAGCTGCCCGCAGCTCTCATTGGCCACAGTTTGCCATTCCCAGCCAATGAGGACTGCAGGAAGCAGCTGCTGCTGCCAGTAGCTCAGCTCACAAGGCCAAGAGCACAAAAGTGACAGGATGGGAGTGCCACCGTTACTTCTGTGCTGCTGCTGGGGAAGGACAGGGCATTGCCTTCAGAGCTACGCACCTGGCCACCTGCTGTCTGGCCACCCAGTTGTGAAGGTAGCACAGAAGTAAGAGTGGCCATACTGTAATCCGCCCCGCCCCAAATAATCTTGTGATCTCCCTGCAAATCGCATATGGAGAGAGATTAAAAAGACTTGGACTTTTCATCTTAGAAAAGAGGAGGCTAAGGTGGGATATGATAGAGCTCTATAAAATCATGACTGCTGTGGAAAAAGTGAATAAGGAAAAGTTCTTGACTTGTTCCCATCACATAAGAACTAGGGGTCATCAAATGAAATTAGCAGGTTTAAAATAAACCAAAGGAAGCTTTTCTTCATGCAGCGCACAGTCAACCCGTGGAACTCCTTGCCAGGGGATGTTGTGAAGACTAGGACTTTAATAGGGCTCAAAAAAGAGCGAGATAAATTCATGGAGGTTAGGTTCATCAATGGCTATTAGCCAGGATGGGTAGGAATGGTGTCCCTAGCCTCTGTTTGTCTGGAAATTGATGGCAGGAGAGAGATCGCGTGATAATTACCTGTTGTGTTCACTCCCTCTGGCTCATCTGGCATTGGACACTATAGGAGAACAGGATACTGGGCTAGCTGGACCCTTGGTCTGACCTAGTCTGGCTGTTCTTATGTTCCAAGGCCAGGACCCACAATTTGAGAAATGCTGGTTTCCCCCATGGAATATATGTAAGACCAGATTTCACGATCTGTGCCATGTTTTTCATGACCGTGACTTCAGCAGGGCCTTACTAAATAGCCACCGAGAGACCTTGCTGCCATGAACTTACCTAATTCTTTTCTGAATCCTGTTACAGTCTTGGCCTTCACAACCTCCCCCGCCGGCGAGTCCCACGGGCTGGCTGCGCATGGTGCGAAGATTTGCTGCCTTCTCTTGCTCTAAACCCGCTGCCTAGCCTTTTCATCGGCTGGCTCCTGGCTCCTTGCTGGGCTTCACATCTGAGGCGGTGAGTGGTGAATTGGCTCCTGACCACAGGGGGCAGAGCTAGGCTGGAATAAGCAGATGGAAGGATCTTACTTTGGGGGGGACGGCAGAGGAGACCGGTGTCTCCAGCTGGGAGAGGTCTAGGATTAGGGTACACAGCCAGAGACACCGGGGTCAATGCAGATTCCGGCAAGGGTTGCTCTGAGAGAGGGTTTGTCAGTAGGGCAGAGAAGACGTCAGTAGCCCAGGCGGGCAGAGGAACTGTTCGGTTTTATTGGGACTTTGGTTTGGCCTTGTTCATAAGGGGTCTGAGCTGGAGTTACTTGGCCATAGGGCTGAGCCACAGAACACCTGGGGGCAGGGACTGGTGGCTGACAGGAGGTGCCGGGGCTGAGGAGAAAAGAAGCCCCCTCACACTGACACAAGGGGGTGGGGTTTCCGAGGGTGAGTGAGCCCCGTCAACCT